CTTTGTTAGAATAAAATAAACTCATATCAAGTGTTCCCTTTAAATATCGCCATATATGCTTAATTGAATTCCAATATCTCCGTGTAGGAGAATAACTATATCTTGCTAGTAAATTAACAGAAAATATTATGCCAGGCCTTGTAGCATTAGCAAGATACATAAGTGTACCAATTGCACTGAGATAAGGTATTTCGGGACCAAGAAGTTCCTCATCCTCTTCTGGAGGTCAGAACAAATTCTTATTCAGTTCAAGTGATCGAACAACCATTGGTGTACTCAATGGGTGCGCTTTGTCCATGTAAAAGAGTTTTAAGACCCTTTCTGTATAGGCAGATTGATGGATAAAGATCTCGTCTGCTAAATGTTCAATTTGCAGACCAAGACAAAGTTTTGTCTTTCCAAAATCTTTCATCTCAAATTCTTTCTTAAGATATTCAATTGCCTTTTGGAGCTCTTCTAGAGTTCCAACAAGATTTATATCATCAATATAAACAGCAAGTATAACAAATTCTGATGCCAAAATACATGGACAAATAACATCATTTATGTAACCCTCTTTCAACAAATATTCACTAAGGCGATTATACCACATACGCCCATATTGCTTTAAACCATACAAAGATCTTTGTAATCTGATTGAATACATTTCCCGAGATTTTGGATTTGCTTCAGGCATTTTAAATCCTTCAAGAATCTTCATATAGACTTAATCAAATGAGTCATATAGGTTATGACTTGCATTTAGATGGCATGACATCTTCAGGTGTCTGGACTACAGGTTCGATCCTCATAATCTTTTACAATATTGTGAACTATATTGTATCAAATATATCGTCGACGATCATTTTGTATCGGTTCCTAAGCGACATAACTTGTTGAGATCTCAACACTTTTTTTATTTTCAGGTACCTGAACTTCTTCTGGAGTTTCATGAAATGTTATGCCGTGGGCTCTTCTAGAGCTCATTTCCTACTCATTATGATCATTTTAATCATTTGCTCCTATCATTTTTCAAGGATTGTTACCTTTGGAACCGGTCGGTTTACTACGCTTCATGCGTGCAGTAAACTTTATCCTTCAGGGATTTTAATTTTAATAGGAACATTTGCAGCTGAAATATGATATTTAATTTTGGATCTGCAAATACTTCTGGCATTTGACTTGAATTATATTCTAAGTAAGGATCATATTAATGATAATTCGATTCATATAGCATATTTTTCAGCTATTTATTCCATCCCCAAATGTTAGAAAAACTAACACATATCCCCAATTTTCTTTGAGAAACCTATATTTGTGCATTGTGGTAGAGAACTTAATCATATACCACACATCAAAAGTTATTAGATAGTAAAAATATTTGGTTTCTGATCCTAAACCAATTGTGAGGGGAGAACTTATCATATTTTGTTGGCCTGATGCATACAAGTGCTGTTGTATGCAATTTAGAAAATCTTAGACCAACACATGAGGCTTTGTTCTCATAAGCAATAGTTTAGCCATTAATATGAGGTATTAAATACTAAACTAGCTTGGATATAAACCAGCATCATCAAGATGAACTATCTTGATTTCATAATCTTAAAATTATGTTCTTAATTGAGAAAAGCAATTTCAAATGCCAAACTGCAGGTTGACAATAAACACACATATAACCATCTCATATATGCATCTATAAGTGGTTCACATAATAGGTGAATGGGCCCATATTCACCTTTTATATATTCCAGAATTCAGGGGTCTTAGTCCCAACTTTAGCTGGTATAATCAATTTATTATGAGAACAAACAACACAAGAGAATTCTTGAAGAATCTTCTAGTTTTTCAGTATATGCTTATCTGAATTCTCAAATAGCTCATTTAAAAATGGAAAATGAGAAATTCAAGTTTATCATGGCTTGTGTTATCTCTTAGTAAGCTTCTAGTTTACTATGGCATAAATTTTGCATTAGTAAACTTCTGATTTACTGTGGCTACTTTTGTATTAGCGAATTTCTTATTTACTGTAGCTACTTTTGCCTCAGTAAAACTTTTGATTTACTGTGATTGCTTTTGCATTAGTAAACTTTTGGTTTACTGTGATACATGATATAGTACAAATTGAAAAATAAGGCAGGTCACTTCTCATATACATATTATTTTATCCCCTATGATTGTGAAAACATGAAGATTTTTAATCTTTCAATCATTTGTAATCTCAATATGATAACCATTTGTATTAGTAAACTTCAGGTTTACTACAACATATGTTTTGACCATAATCATATAATATAAATGACGTATTTGTACATAAGCTCTTCGAGAGCCTTCGTTTATTATCCACAATCAAATATTTATCGGACACTACTGGTGGCATATGTCTTCTAGACAAACAACTAGCTCTTCAGGAGTTGTTGATACATTTTGTATTATCAAATATTGCTCACACACTTCTGGTATCATGAGAGAAAATTTCTTGATAAACAAAATAAATATGATAGTAAACATCATTATCACCGCATAACTTTTATTTATGTACAACAATTACATAATCATACTATCTACTACAAACAACAAAAATTAAAATATTTACATTTCTACAGATTCATTACCGATCACATGACTTATTTCTCCTTCCGGGAGTGCAAAGTAATCAGCAACATCTAAATGCATGAAGTCTAAATTATCTTCAGAAATAAAATTTGCTTCAGCATTTTTCTTTGTCATCTTCAGGGAGGTTTGATATAGCTCAACCAGGTACTTTGGTGTACGACAGGTATGTAACCAGTGCCCTTTTCCTTCACATCTACAACATGCATTTTCTGCCTTTGCTGCTTGCACCGCTTCATGCTTTTGTTCCTTCCTTTTCCACTGTTTGGGGTGAGGAGGGTTCTTTGGTGCATTATTATTACCATGATTAGTGTTTCTTCCCCGACCACGATCATGACCACGACTGGGGTCACGTCCTCTTTCATGCTTAGCTTGGTGGAAGTTCGTCTCATTCACGTCAGGGAATGGACAAGAACCAGTAGGTCGGCTTTCATGGTTTTTCATTAATAGCCTATTATGTTGCTCGGCTACAAGAAGATGTGAGATAAGTTCAGAATACTTTTTGAATTCCATCTCTCGATATTGTTGCTGCAGGAGCATATTCGAGGCATGAAAAGTGGTGAAAGTTTTCTCCAACATATCATGATCAGTAATATTATCACCACATAATTTCAATTGAAAAATAATTCTGAACATAGCAGAATTATACTCACTGATAGATTTAAAATCTTGTAGCCTTAATGAGTCCAATCATAACGTGCCTATGGAAGAACGACCATCTTCGGGTGGTCATATCTATCTTTCAAATTATTCCACAGTATGACTGGATCTTTAATAGTGAGATATTCCATTTTCAAGCCTTCATCAAGGTGATGGCGTAGGAATATCATTGCTTTGGCACGGTCTTGGTTTGATGCTTGATTTTTGTCCATGATGGTGTCTGCCAGACCCATCGCATTAAGATGAATTTCAGCATCAAGCACCCAAGACATGTAGTTTTTGCCCGATATATCCAGGGCTACAAACTCAAGTTTAGAAAGATTTGATATTATTTAGAGAAAAAAAAGTTCGTACCTCTGATACTTTCAAAGTATTTGCTCGAGATGGCAGAATCTCGTGCTGATAACGTGTTATAAAATAAAGAGTGTAAAGTAAAAACAAGTATAAAGAGAAACTGATATATTATTCAAACTTATGTACATAATGAACTGAAATTTTCTCTATTTATAGAAGAAAGCAAGGTGTTGTGTAAGCTGCTACTGTACCAGATATAGATAATCGTCTACCGGGGGTAATGTTTATCCATAATGGAGTACCGAAAGGATAAGCTCATTATACCAGATATAGATAATCTTCTATCGGGGGTAATGTTTATCCATAACGGGGTACCAAAAGGATAAGCTCATTATACCAGATATAGATAATCTTCTACCGGAGGTAATGTTTATCCATAATGGGGTACCGAAAGGATAAGCTCATTATACCAGTTATATATAATCTTTTACCGGGGGTAATGTTTATCCATAATGGGGTACCGAAAGCATAAGCTCATTATACCAGATATAGATAATCTTGTATGGGGGGTAATGTTTATCCATAACGGGGTACCAAAAGGATAAGCTCATTATACCAGTTATATATAATCTTTTACCGGGGGTAATGTTTATCCATAATGGGGTACCGAAAGCATAAGCTCATTATACCAGATATAGATAATCTTCTACCGGGGATAATGTTTATCCATAACTGGGTACCGAAAGAATAAGCTCATTATACCAGATATGGATAATCTTCTATCGGGTGTGATGTTTATCCATAATGGGGTAATGAAATGATAAGTTTATTCAGGAGACTTATTTCCAATAGAGTACTAAATAGATAAACATATTTACGGCAAAGTTTCATATAGATGAGCTTCTTCAGGAAACTTATTTACAACAGAGTACTAAATGAACATTCATAATATAATATATTTATAACATGATTTTCATTTTTCAGCACTTAAACAATAACATCGAAGGTGTGTTCATATTTAATTTTTTGCTGCAATATAATTATGTATGTTTCTTACCAGTCTATCTATATATTTTAACACCTCATATCTCAACTTTTGATTCTAATACAAAACGTAGGTTTGCATGCATGTAATGGAATAAAACAAACGGTCATAATTCATCAACCATATTTTAGGTCGATAAACGTGTTATTCATTAAATTCATCCAAATGCTATGATATTTTTTGTTGAATGATAGTGGTGTCAGAGGCACAAATCAACTTTTCTATCGAGCACTTGCTACCTTCACGAACACAAGTACCGAATAATTTTTATTCAAATGCTATGATACTTTTCGTGAATGATAGTGGTGTCGGAGGCATAACTCAACTATTCTATCGAGTACTTGCTAACTTCTACCAACACAAATACCGAATAACTCTTGTCCAAATACTATGACACTTGGAACAACAGTACTGAGGGAAAATTGGAGAAAGCAGAGGAAATAATATTACAATGGATTTAGCATATAATATACCCTGATAGTATATCATTCTTTTTAACATAATAACATATAATATATCTTGAAGCATTGCCGTCCCCGACACACCTGCTAAATGTCATCTCAGTACTATATATATATGATTAGGTTAAACCATTGACGACACGAAGCACAGAAACATCTGCTTCCACAATGCAGCAGTCACCCACAAGGAAGCCTTTCTTTGGATCCTTTAATTCACTTAGCGTGTCATAAATGCCCCCCATCCCCAAATGTAACAAGCAGCTGAAAACCAATATGAACCAACTGCAAGAGAAATGTCAAAATTTTCAAAAGAAAGAGAAATAGAAACCTATTAAAATATATGCTGGGATTTTAACAATAAGATTTTACTAAAGTAGATAAAAGAACGCCACCAAGCTGCTAGGCATGATGACAAACACAAATTACCCATATTTGATATCCTTTTTCCTTTTTTCAACAAGAAAAAACTGTGAAAGTCTCTTGAAAAGAAACTTAAAATTGTCTATTCATTGCTCAATTGGCCAAGATTGACCCCTAAAAGACTACTACAAAACATATCATCATTTTAAGCTCAGATATGACCTCATGCATTTACCATAATTCCATCAACAACCAAATGGATGATGGTGTAAGTTCTGGTAGCTCGATTGTTTGCCAATGAATCAAAATGCCTTAGGAAAGAAGGTTTACTTTCGTTTTCTTTTTCGTTTGATCGCTTTGCATTGCTAACATCTCAAGCTCAGTATTGTATCTTTACCTCAGTACATATTAAACCCACCCAATCGTGAGAAATGACAATTCACTAAAAAAAAAAAAAAACTTCTTTTGTTTTACATTTATGTGTGTGTCTGTAACAATATATCCTCTTTCGGAGGAAAACCTACAATGTAAACAAGACTTGGTGGATATGGATCATATTGAAGACAGAAGGCTGTAATAGGCAATGAGATTATTAAGAAAGTGGTCAATACTGAGTAGAACTTTCAATAAGGGATAATTACTCTACTTTAGCCCGAGGCTCTTGCTTAAAAATAGCAATGTTAATGATATATGCAGCACAGAAATGTCGGTACCACCCTTCAATGTCTTCGCTCCCCTCCACACACACACCAAAACACAAGCCCTTGTTACTCGTGCCAACAGGAATAACTCCACCTTAGGTTTATGTGGAAGGAGAGTGTAAATAACGGCAGATCTAGAAATTTAAGAAGATGAGCACACTATTACAAAGAGGTGGATCCAAGATTAAAATTCGACGGGTTCAACATTTAGGTTCTTAACATCAAGATCGATTACACTTTTAATTTGAAATTATAGGTTCAATCTTTTTAAAATTTTCTTAATGATTTTCCCATGTTAAAGAAAGTTTGGATCAATTGAACCGTACCCATTGACACATACTACATCTTCCATTGATACTAGTTTTAATATAGACATTTGATTTAATATATAAAATTTCAAGGTAATGGAGAATAAAGATTTCAATGTATCAGACTAGGGTTTTTTGAAAGAATAAATCAAACAAAGAAAACGAAAAGTACTTAGACAAGGATTTTGAGAGAATAAATCAAACATAGAAATAAAGAAAAAGAAAAATGTATGATGTCAGATTTAAACACCACCTCACTTATAAAGATGCATCGAACAACCATTGCACCACTGGACTGTCTGAGTTAGGGTATGCACATATATAATTAAGTAGTTTTGTATAGATATAACATTACTATACATGGTCGAGGGATGTATGGATTCACGTAAATCCATATCCCTCCACCTGGATCCTCCCTTGAGTGTACTGACACTGGTTTAGCGAATGAAGATGCCTCTGAGGTCGAAAACATGAAAATGACTATTTGGCAAGTTGAACTAAGGCCAGATGTTTGAATAATGGGATACTTAAATCGACACGTTACCTGCAAATGCGGGAACCAAAAAACAGTTCAATAAATAAAGGAACAAGAGGACGTACCAGTCATCTTGCGATGTGCACCACTAATCTGGTCTTTGACGGAAATGCTATATTTTCCGTGGACCCTTTTTCGACAATCAAATCCTTTAGCACCAACTAATTCAAGATAGATGGAGATGCTCTCGCCATTTTGTCCACTACAACCTGTAGGATATAGCAAAATTTTCCTGCATCCAAACACATCAAATTGCATTTACACTACAAAGAGAAGAATGCGTGAAAGAAAGAAAAATATATATAACAGATATAAAGGACATGAACAACTATACCATTTGTAACCGCCAACAGTAAATTCCTCAGAAAACAACTCATTCTTCAATTTTGTGAATTCAGAAATATTCCATTCGTGCTTATAAGCCTTGACATCTTTCAACAACATACATTCACCTACTCCATGATTACTGTTGACATATACATCTACTCCGAAGATACAACTGTCATTAACAAGGTAACCATTAGAGGGATCTTTAAATGTTGCACGGGAGATGCATTTTGAGAAACCCCATTCAGTCTTGATATTGCGAAAACGCCGCTCCATTCCTGCATGAAAATATGTATTTTCCTAGAAAACGTTACTGACATGGTAAACATTGCCTATCTAAATCGAAAGTTTTCTATTTATACTAATTACTAATTTATATATTCTTGTAAACCTTCTGAAGACATTAGGAAGAGGAATGTCACAAAGAGAAAAAGCATTATACCTCTTATGAGAAAAAGCATTATACCTCTTATTACAACATAGTTGTCATGAATTTGATCAAATATCAAGAAGCTAAGTGTGGCATTCACCTCCCAACCAGCATGTAGGGAGCTAGTCCCAACAATGGCCAAGTATATAGATATATGGTCATGTCCTGATCCATCTCCATAAGGATAAATGATCATTTTCCTGTCCCAATTAGTCCATGAACAGATCAAGATATTCAGAACAAAATGAAAACGGAAATGATATCGAAGCAAATGTACAGACAAAGAAAACAATTTTAAATATCATTTACAGAAAAACCATTCATGCTATGCCTTGTAATTAAAAAGTTCTACTCGATGAGCAATGTGTCCAGCTTTCAAAACCTCTACCCGAAAACCCCAATGAGAGCAACAAAAAACACACGACAGAAAAAGAAAATCACGATTAAGTAAAACACAATGCACACAATATCAAGGAATTAGATAGCAAAAGAACTTGACAAGTGAGGCTTGCTCAGTTGGTAAAAGCACTTCCACCCACGACCATTAGGTCCTGGGTTCGAGTCACCCTGGAGGGGTTATGTGGAAACACTATAGATCCTCCTAATTTGGGAGAGTTTTTAAAAAATAAAAAATAAAAAAAGAACTTGAAAATGAAACGGTGCAGCAGGTTTTATTGGGAAATATATGACCTTCCTATGCTACAGAAGACATATTTCTTTTGCCTTTTCTGTTATGGAAAGAAGGCAGTATGCAGAGGCGGACTCGCGGGTTAAGGGGTCACGGGACCCGTTATATGTACATATAGATGGGAACCCCAGACACAAAAGAGGTGAATGGCAGAAGTGGTTAGTGGGGCGCTTTAGTTCCATCCTTTTTTGGATAATGTGGGTTCGATACCCAACTTCAGTGTCTTCTCCTCCTTTCTAATATAAATACAATGTAATTTATAGTTAATAGCAAATTACTATATTTTTACTTTTATCTTTTTTTTAATTCAATTATAGTTTACTACTAATACATAATGGTCAATTTAATTAAAAAAATTCTAATCCCTCCCTTAAATTTAAAAGCCTCAAATTGCAACTTATCGCTCCGCAAATAGAAAAGGTACAACCTTCTTCCACAATTACTTTGACACCGTCTCGATAATGGAAGCTAAGAGTTTGTTCTTTGGCACCTAAGAGTTTGAGACTCTTCTTCAGTTCTTTAACTATTAAAAGTACTCTTAATCTTAATTTCTTTTGTAAGTTTTCCTTTTGATCACAAAGAAAAATTATTGAGGTTTCAACAAAGATTTCCTTGTCCAATCCATAGTTTCATAGCTGATAGCTTGCCCTTTTTGCATTCATGAATTATCAATCTATGGTACATGGACCCAAAAACTTGTGTCGACTAAGTTCACATCTGAAATACTAACAGTATGGTCAATTTTAGTAGGTTTATTTAACATTCACTGATTAATGTACTGGTATCCATACTAGTTGAACATAGGTGCATTAGCCAAAATGAAAGATTAAGCAAATTATATCTCAACATATATAAAATGATTCATCACCATTAATTTGGTTACTTAATGCAAGTGCATATGTTAAAAGATTCTATAAATTCTTCCTGTCCCCACTCATTAAAATTTAACACACAAACATCCGTTATAGCAACATAAGATGAGCAGTAATATTTTCTCCCAGTATAGAGACAACGATTTCTTTGTTTAGTACCAGCATATATA